AATGAATAAATAAAATCTTAAAAAAAAAAAAGGAGATGCATAGGTATATGTGTCACAAGTATTCAGGAGTATGCATATTCGGGAATATGCATAATCTGAGCACGATGCTGCATTCGAGTATTTGTGAACATGGGGGAGGGAGACTACCTCTCACTTTCGCTCTGAGCTTTAAGGGATTACTTCTTTGGCCACTGGTCTTCCAACACACCCACATTTTCCAACTCCTTTTCTAAGAGTTATTATGGTTCAGGGGAGAGAGCACAGTAGTCCAGAGACCTGGGATGAGGCCCAATTCTGCTACTCGTTAGCCTTGTAACTACGAGCCTATCGTTTCTGTTGCCCAAACCTCATTTACCCTGTCTGTGAAATGGGGTGCTAACCAGTCACATCTACCTAGAATTCAGAGCTCCAGGCCCCCTTGTCCCCTGGCCCTACCTGCCCCTACTCCAGACAGTTCTCTCCTTGCTCATCCTTATCCATTGCCACGCCCTGGTGTGGATGCAGGGCAGAGACAACTTGGGACTCCTCAGCTCTGAAGGCGAGTCTTCTTTCTTCCTGTACTCCAGGCTGGCAGGGAGGCAGGATTTCCAGAGCTCCTGGAGCACAGTTTGAAAACCATGGACCTAGGCAGCCTTGTGTTCATTGTCTTGGCTTCTCAGAGAATCCAGAGGGTCCTGAGGACCAGCATCCACGGGGTAACATGGCATGATTCATGGATGAGGATGCGGACCTCAGAGGGGAGGGTGGGGGAGGAGAGTGTATCGACCTCCGGGGTGTGCATGTGGAATGGCTACTGTCTCAAGGGAGCCCCAGCCCTGATGCCTGCAAGGTCCCTGGAGCCTGTGTATCCATGGGAGAGGGGACCTTCATGGGACAATGGACGTGGCTTGCACACTTGCATGGGCTGAGCACTCCAAAAGCCTCCCTGCCCCTGCCCTACTGTGCTTCCAGGCCTTCCCCTGGGCATCCCTAGGAGCACCTGGGGCTGTCTGGGTCCAGCGCAGGAGCAGGAGCTGATCAGGGGGCCTTCAGAATCAAACTTTCCCCAAAGCTGTATAATCTGGGCCTCTGGCTCCCACTGGCCTGAATGAGGACTGAGCCAGGATCAGCATTTTCTATTCCAGAGAAAGAAACACATACTCTAGTAGAGCTGGGCATTCAAGGCCCATTCCCCACATATGAGTCAAATGGGTTAATGCACATAAGGCAGTTACTCCCCATCCTTTCCATGCCTTAGAGATCGTAGAAAACTAAAGTATTTATATAGTTGCTGGCTGCCTAGCAGGCCGAGGGACAGTACTGCAGTGCACAGGTAACCGGTTCTGGACATACAAGGATGCTACCTTGGGACGCTCACATGTAAAGCATTTAGCCGAGGCCCCGTGACAGTGGATCTGAACCTTCACTACACGTTAGAATGGGCTTTAAAGAAAATAATTTTGCCCAGGCCTTACCACGGGTCAACTGTCTAGTGATTCCGGGTGGTGAGGCCTGGGCATGGGTATATTTTTAAAGCTCCCCAGGGAGAGTTGAGAAGCCCTGGCCCAAGAATGAAGTGAGCATTCAGCAAATGTCAGCCATCTCTAACGAAAATGCCTCCGTGTCCTCCAATGTGCTGTTCTCCTTGACTGAGCAGCAGAAGGGCTGGGCTGGGCTGGGCTGGGCTGGGCTGGGCTGGGGGGCCAGGAGTCATGGAGGGCACCACTGCTCAGGAGAGATGAATGCCGGGTAGGGCAGCCTGGCATCCATCTCCCTCAGCCATGTCTCGGAAAATTGAATTACCACTTGTATTTTTCAGCTGCTGCCCGCCTGGCTGGCTGGAATGTGGAAGGGAGCTGAGGCAGTGAGCACCTCAGGGTAGGGAAAAGGTTGTGGGGAAGACCCCCCCAGCCTCCCTCCCTAGGAGAGAGGAGGCAACTCAAGGGGTCCTTTGGGAGGAGACCATTCCCAAGGTGGGCCCTCAGTCTCCGATCTTCCCAAAGCCAGGCAGGTAGGATGAGAATGGGCTGGCTGGCTCGGGAGAAGGGGGAGACTCTGGCCCTGTCTGTCCTCGGGAAGGTCCCTCTGGGGGAACAGGATTGGTGTAGCTGCTGTTCAAGGACAACCAGGTTTGTTTGGAGAGAGCAGAGCCCAGGTTGTGAGAGCCCAGCCTGGGTCTCCAGCACGATGGAGGCGGCCCACCAAGTAGAACACCACTAAGTTGAACACTGGGACACAGGCTTTGGTCCCCAACCTGATGAGAAAGTTGCCTGTGTGTCCTCAGCCTAGTCCTCTCATCCCTCTGGGGTCAGGCACTTGATTCACAGGGAAGGGGACTGGACAACCTCCGGGATCCTCAGGCAGGCTGATGCTCCTAGGCAGGGCTGGCATCAGAGTCCATCTACAAGGCCGGCTGGCCCATACAGCGCTCTGGAGAGAATTAGGGAGATACCCCCTGTAGGACCAACGAACAGAAGTGTGCACTGCCCACACCAAGACGTACATGTGGGGACACAGAATAGATGGCAGGGGGTACAGAACCCTAAGCACTAGGTATCACAAAGCAAATGCACCTGGAACAGAACGAAGGATCTCAGAGCCAAGGGGACCTCTTCCAGGGCCCTGGCCATTGACATTTCCAGGCTGAGCTGGGCTGCCATAGGTGACTCTTGGTTTCCACCCTTCCTCACACTCCCGGGTCCCCAGCGTCCTGCTTCCCTCCTGCTTCCCCAGACTGAGACTCCCAGCAGACTTCCTTTCCCTCTCCTGACATTTCACAGTTCACAGAGCACTTTCAGACACAGCATCTTATTTGAACTTCACTGGAGAGGAAGGAAGCAGGCTCCCAAGGGTTAGAGGAGCAAGCCAGGCAGGGGTGTAGCCAGGCCCACAGGGAGGTTCTGTCTGTCTGTCTGACTCTAGCACAGCACCTGGCCCTCTTCTCTCTAGAGGGGTCCCACTCTTTATTGACACAGAGAAGGACTGGCATTCTCCTCCTCCGGGAAGTTTTCCTGGACTGAAAGGAATGTGATTCATGCAGACCAACAGTGTGGTGTACCAGCCGGGGCTAGCGTTTGCTGTGCAGTGAGGAGACATCACCAAGTCTCTGGGTGGACCTAGGCACTCCCTGCATCTTTCTGGGGCCTCAGACACCTCCTATAAGTCTCCATTATGGATTTCTCTGCTCAGTTGGACTGGAATCCCCAAGGAAAGATTCATCTGTTCGTCCTTCCTCCTTCTTGAAGCTTCCTTGATAAAGTGGCCACACCCAAGGCTTGGCCCATAGGAGGCTGGACAATAGCTTACTTGAACGGGGAAGGACAGCCTGGTTGCAGAACTGTGGATCGGGGTTTGGAGGGAGCTCTCGGGATGCTCACGCCTGGGGTGTGACCAGAAACCAAGAGCAGGGGCAGGCAGAAGCAGAGGTTGTGGGTGTAGGCGGGCAGCGGTTAAGTGCTTTGCCTGGGAGCACTAACTGTCTTCAGTGAGGCTCTGGCCCTACTACTGACTGGCTACCTGCCCTTGACGGGCTCGGTTCCCCTCATTAAGCTTCAATTTATCCACCTGTACTAGGAAGAGGCTGAGTAGGACCGCAGTAACAGTAGTAATAGTAATTTATTCATTAGCGACTTAAATAAAATCAGCGAAGGCCTACTAGGGGGGATATGCACCATTCTTATTTAATACTGCTGTCGGGATGGGGAGGGCTTGGGCATTATGATCCCACCCACATAGGGTTAAGAAGCTGAGGCTCCGAGAGGTCAAGTCACCAGCCCAAGCGCTCCAGCCCAGAGCTAGCCCTGACACAGCGGGGCCTGGAGCACAGGCAGTCTGACTTCAGAGCAGGATAAGTTGTAAGCACACCCCCTCCCCACCCTCACCCCCCAACTCCTTCCTGGCCACAGAGGTGTTCTCCAGGGGTCACATTTGAGGACATCCCGGGGGCGGGGGGGCAAAGCTGGTTGATCTTCCCAGGCCCTGGGCTGTGGGGGCCAAGAGTAAACCCCCCTCTTGCTCCTTTCTAGCCACAGAGGTGTTCTCCAGGGGTCACATTTGAGGACATCCTGGGGGGGGGGGCAAAGCTGGCTGATCTTCCCAGGCCCTGGGCTGTGGGGGCCAAGAGTAAGTCCCCCTCTTGCTCCTTTCTAGCCACAGAGGTGTTCTCCAGGGGTCACATTTGAGGACATCCCGGGGGGGGGGGGGGGCGGGGCAAAGCTGGCTGATCTTCCCAGGCCCTGGGCTGTGGGGGCCAAGAGTAAGCCAAGCGGACTCTGGGACTTGCCCGGTAAGGAAGGCTTCCCGGAGGAGGAAGCACAGACTAGACCCAGGGACCCGCAGGGACTCCTGAGGACGCGGAAGGGGGCAGGGCAGGGCTTTCTGGCTCGGAGAGGGTGGAAAGGGGGCAGTGAGCCCCAGCCCAGCCCGGACCCTTTGGGGGGGCGCTCGCCTCCGCACCGCCGCCGGGGGTCGCCCCGCAGCTCGGGCGGTGTCGGGGCGGCCCGGCGAGCGCGGCGGGCGGGGTCCCGCTCCCCCGCACACCCCCGCTAACCCCTCCCCCGGGCGCCCATTGGTCCACACCCCCCACCCGCACCCCACCCTGCGAGGAGCGCGGCGCGGAGGCGGTGGTCGCTCGCCTCGCTCCGGCCCGGCCTGGCTTGGCGGCGGCGCCTCTCCCGCAGGACCGAGCCCGCGGGGCGCGGGGGGCGCGGGGCGCGCGGGCGGCGCGGGCGGCGCGGGGGGCGCGGGGCGCGCGCGGGGCGGGCGGGGGCGGGCGGGGGCGCTGCGCCCGGGCCCGGGCGGTGACCGGCGGCGGCGGCGGCGGCGGCTCCAGCGGCTCCAGCGGCTCCAGCTCCCGCGAGCGCGGTCCCCGCGTGCGCACACGCACACGCACACGGCGCGGCGCAGGGGCCCGGACACCGGCCGCCGGCGGACACGCGGACGCGGGGACCCGGGCTCGGCGCGCGCTCCTCGGCGCACTCGCTCCAGCCCGGGCGGCGCGGGCCGCGCACTCGCCCCTGCGCGCCCTCCCGCCCGAGTCCGCCCGCAGCCCGCCGCAGCCCGCAGCCCGCAGCCCGCAGCCCGCGGCGAGCCCCGGTGTGAGCAGGTAAGGGCCGCCCGGCCGCCGCTCCCGATGCGGAACCCTCGTCCCCGCGGGGCAGCGGCCCCCTTCCTCCCCTCGGCGACCCCGCGAGCGCGTCCTCCGCCGACGGATGGCGGGCGGCCAACCTGCCGAGCCCGAACGAAGCCCCTCCCGCTGCTGCTCCCTCCCTGCGCGACCGCCCGCCCCCCCCCATCTGGGATAGTACTTGGGGCAGCAGCTCCCTGCAGCCCCCCCCCCCCCCGCGCCAGAGGGAGAACCTGGGGCAGGACCGGCCAGGGGGACCCAGACCGAGGGACCCTTCTCCCTACTCCCAAGGCAGACGGACGCGCCTACGCGGATCGGGAAGGCAGCGCTGGAGGGGCCCTGGCTGCTACCGCAGTCCCCACGGGGGCCGAGGGGTGGGCAGGCGCTGTGCAGGGGGGTGGGGGCAGGGGCCAGCCTGGAGTGCCCCCCCCCATAGTGACACATTCGGGATTGTCCAAAAGAGCGTCGTCTCTCGGTTTCCCGCGGCGCAGAGGGGATGGGGTCTTGACGCCTGGGCGCCGGTGGTGGTCTCGCAGGAGACGCCCTAAGGGGGCCTGCGGGGGGGGGGGAGCTCCGGCCTCCCCGGGCCCAAGTGGGCCAGCCCGAGACCCCTGCCGGCCGCCTTAAAGGCACAGGCTCCTGCTGCAGCTGCGGGAGGCGGGGGCCACATCCTGGGCGGGATGTTGGCGCTTTGAGGGCCTCCGAAGGGGCCAGGGCTGGGGGGGGGGGGGGAAGCTAGCCGCTCAGGAGGGAGCCTGGCCAGAAGCTGATTGCTTGTCACACGGAGCTGGGGAGCGGAGCCTCACCACTGGAAGGAGTTCAGGCCCCTTTTGGAAGCTGCTGGGGGAGGGCTGGTGGGCCCCTGCGAATTCTCCAGGCCATTTCTACGCTTTTAGTGTGGTCAGTGTCCCTGACTTTACCCTGGCCCTATAGCGTCCCACAAAGCATCCCCTCTCCCCGCTAAGAAAGAGAAAAAAAAAAAAAGAGAGAGAGAGAGAGAAAGAAAGGAAGGGAACACACAGCGGTTAGCTTTTCTGTTGCACAGCCCAGTGTGTGGGGTGCCTGGGGAGTGGGATGGGGTTACACACCATCAGTGGAGGGTCACTTGCCTTAGGACTGCTGTTAGGCAGAGAGAGACAAGCATCAGGTCAGGCTTGAGGCTTTGAGTGGATGTGAACTAGTGAAAGGGATGAAAAACTATTTATGAGCTTGGGGGTGGGCAGCAGCAGCACCCAGATTTTCTCAGGAGACCCCAATCTCAGTTTGGTGCTGGCTGCGGGTGGGGTTGGCAGAGTCCCCAGCTGAATCTGGGGCTCCTGCTCCCCGCTGACCTTGGGGAGGGCAAGCAGAGGTGCCAGTCTGGATACAAACCGAAATTGGAACATACCCACTGGAAACAACACACTGGGGTGGGCTCTTGGCCAAATCTTCCAACCAATCCATCAACAGGTGGGTAGGGTGACCAGGGATGCGGACCTGGTCCCTTCCTCTATGGATGATTCATTGGTGGGTCTGTATCTGGGCCCGGCTCCCTCTAGTCTGTTTGTCCCTGTGTGCAGTGAGGACAGGTGTCTGTGGGAAGCCTCTCGAGGGACCCTTCCCTGCATTCTGAGGACTAACCAGGCTAGAACATCCATTAAAGTCCTCTTTTGTGTAAAGTTCAGGCTGGCAGGAGGTCGACTGGAGAAACACTTTGGGACCCCCCCCTGCCTTTTTTTTTTTTATGTGGCCATCCTGCCCTTTCAGTCTTCTACTTTGGGACACTCCCTCAATTTGTGTTGAATACACAAACACATAAAATAGGTATTTACAAATCAGTATGTGCAGCTAAGGGGCTAGGAAAAACAGGAGCTAAGGCTACAACGTGGCTTTCTTCCTAGGGAGGTGGCCTCAGAATGAGTGTCCCGGGTCTCTATCCTCCCAGGCATGAAGTCTTCATTGACCAAGGGCTGGCACCAGTTAAGTGGAGGACACATTGTGCTGTCTGCCAGAGGGCAGAACCAAGGTGTGCCAAGCGCAGAGCGGGAGCCCAGCTCAGTGCCAGGAAGGCCTCACTTCCCTGAGAGCCACCCAGCATGGAGCCAGTACCTGGGGGTGACAGTGGGTTTCTGTCTTAGGAGGTATGTGAGCAGAGGTCTGATGCCCCAGATAGGACTGTTGGGGGCTTTCTACCCTGGTAGGGCCAAAGGCGTGGGAAACCTTGGCCGCCCCTGGACACAGGAATCTGAGTCCAGGGACTGAACCTGCTGGGCCTAGTGGTCCAGCTGCCTGGCAACATACAGGCTTAGAAACTCCTTGGCGGCGACATTTGTACTAAGCCCTGGATGCCGTCAGAGGCACATGGTGACAGCCACCCCCACAGTGACACACAAAGAGGTAGTGACACACTGCCTAGGAGGCATGTAGGTTTCCAGTGACACCTGCCACAGGGCTGGGGCAGGACATGCAACAGCAGAAAGACATATGGACTTTGGGACACACTGTCTCACACAGATCTTGCATACCTGGGGACTCGGACATTGGCCACAGGAAGATCACAAAAGTCTTCCTTAATGAAAGTCTGGATGCACACGGAATCAAATGGAGAAAGTGCATGTGTTGCATGAGATTAGACTGAGGGTTGACAAACTTTTTCTGGAAGGGGCTAGATAGTAAATAGGCTTCGCTGGCCACGCACCCTGTGGCAGCTACTTCGTTCTGCTGTTGTAGCAGAAAAAGCAACCGTAGGTGATACGTAAACAGATGAGCGTGGCTGTGTTCTGATAAACTCTGCTTAGGGATGCTGAAATTTGAATTTCATACAATTTTTTATGTGCCACGAAATGTGAGTCTTAATTTTTCCTGACCATTTAAAAATGTACAAACCCTTCTTGGCTCACTGGCTGTACAAAAATAGGGGACAGGCTGGCTCGGACCTGCTGTAAGTGTTTGCCAACCTCTGGCCTAAGGTCAGAGAAGAAAAGTGATTTAAAAGATTAAAGGAGGAAGGGCTTAGTCCTGGGAGCCCGAGCTGCCCTAAGGGGCCGTGGATGCTTCCCTTCATTCTGCCTGGAGCCCCAAGTGTCCATCTGCTTAATGGGTCAGTGCCAGGAGAGGCTCCCTGCCTGGCCTCAGCACCCCACCCCAGACAGGTCTTTGCTGTGTACGTGTGATAAATCTAAGGACACCTGGAGACAGCATTCATGAAGATGAAATGACGACGTGTCACTTCAGCTCACCAAATAGGTCCTGAGTCCCCTTTTCCATTGACCCTCTGTGTCCAGGTCCCTGCCCGCCTCTACCAGGAGGGACATGCAGGGACACCTGGACAAGCCCCATGTTTCCAACAAGATTTGAAGCTCACAGTGAGCAGGATGAGACCTGAAATGGCCCAGGCAGGAGGGAGGGTCTCCTTATCTAGGGCTGGTGGTTCTCAGACAAGGGTGCGATCAGCGGAGGTAGAGGCAGCCAGGGCGGGCTTCCTAGAGGTGGTGGTGGGAGGTGGGCTTGACTTGAGGATACCTGGCTGCTCTCCATCCAGTGCCATATGTTGCCTTCACCATCTTCAACCTTCCCCCTCTCCCCCCGACAAATGGGCACTGCAAAGGCTTGGCGGAGGGGAAAAAAAAGCTCCTTTGTAGGCTCCTCCACACGGCCCAGCTTCTGATTGAAGGCTGTGTAGTGAACCAGGTCTTGCCTTTGGTTTCTTCCCCTCCCTCCTGTTCCCTTCTGACATTTCCTTCCTGCCATTTGCCCCGAGGTGGGCCAGGGAGACTTTCCTCTCCCCTTTTCCGTGAGTCTCTGGATTCTGTTCCCTTCTTTCCATTCCCTGCCCAGGGATTCCCCGCCATCACCTCCACCCTGAATCCGGAGAATGGCCTCCGTGTGGGTTTTTCCCCTTCTGCTCGGCTTGCCAGCCGTCTGAGGAGTATTGCCTCAGTGGGAAGCTTCTCATTTCACTCCCCAGCTTAGGGCCCTTCAGTGCGCCTGTCTTATCCCGGGGACCAAGGCTGCAGTGTCTCTAGCACCCGCAGACTGGCACCAACCTCCCACCCTCCTGACATCTTGCTGAGCCCCTGAGCACCCCCAGTCACCCTCCCAAGCCCATTCTCCAGGCACTTGTCAGAGATCTCTGGGGAGGTCTCTGGGCTCTCACTGTATGCCGGGGTCACGTGCGAATCAGAGCTGGCTCCCCCTTCCAGGGGCTCATGCCCACTCAGGAGGGCCTGCGGGGTGACAAGGGAAGGCAGACAGAGAGGCACTCACAGTCCCTCCCTGCCTGGGAGGTGCTCCCTGGACTGTCAACAAACAAGGGTCTGCTCCTGGCTTCCATTCCCTCCCTGGCCACCCTCTCCCTCCACACCTCCCACTGCCTTCCACCAGGCCCCTGCCTGCTCTCCAGACTCTCCCTCTACCCCCATTATTATCTTCTGCTTCCTCCTCCCCTTCTCCTCCACTCTCAATCCCACTTCGTGGGGGGGGGGGGTGGGTCTCTCCCTGGCAGAGAACTCCCAGCATCCCTTCCAGGACAGCAGATGTGCCTGGACTCCTCAGTGTGGAAGGGCTTTGCAGCGTGACTTTGGGAAAGTCTCCTGGTTTCTCGGGGCCTCACACCCTCGTAAGTGAGATGGGATAACACTCCCAATGTGCATGTGTGCGTTCCAGCCCAGCCCTTCCCTGCCCTGAGCCCAGGTTTCCCACGTGTCAAGTGGAGGGTGTGGGTGGGATCGTGGGGGACTCTTCCAGGGACCTGGGTTGTGTCACCTACTGGGCACAGGACCTCAGTGGCCAGGCTATGAAAGGGGAAGGTTTGAACACCCAGAGGAGCATCAACATTAATGATTAATCGAGAGGATGCCCTGCAATCGAGAGGATGCCCATTACCCAGGCATCGGGCTGTGGCCCTCATCAGCTCTGACCCTACTGAGGAGGAAAGAGGCTTTAGAGGTTCCCTGTTCCTTCTCCAGAAGCGAGTGTAGTTTCCTCCCTTTGAAGGGTGA